CAGATTTCATTATTTTTAAGAATAATTTTACTGGATCCAGAATTCCAATATTTTTCTTTCTGCACACTAACAATGCACATTAACAATAACCTCTAACTTTTTTTTTTTCAAGAGGTTTTTGCCATAGGGTGCATGTGTTCACCAGAGACAGACAGAAAGACAGAGGGAGTGAGAGTGAAAGTGAGAAATTACCCCCCAGGAGATGGTCACACCATAATCCCTTCTCCATTCTCCTATAGAATCTTGGGCATATATACATACTAATTTTCAAGCCACTGGGTCTGGGACTCTGACAGCAATAAGTCATTCGGGAGTCTGGCAACAAAACCACTAAATCATCCGCTGACTCTACCCCCAACTGACTTATTTCCATTATGCTATAGTTTGAATTATGTCCTGTCAAAATTCGTGTGTCCAGCTAACTGTAACAGAGTTAAGAGGGTGAAAACTTAATCTGTTGATGATGTCAAAAGGTGGGACCTTTAGGGAGACATTAATAATTGCGTGGTTAGGGCAGGGCCTCCATGATTGATTTCTGATTATCAGAAATATAAATAATGGGGGACCAGCAGTTGGCATAATGGCTATGTCACTGGACTCCCATGTAGCCAACCGCCGTTCAAGTCCCAGATCTGGTGGCTTAAACTCACGCCGGGCAAGTGTGTGCGTGCGTGCCCAAGATCCGGAGAGGAGACTGGAGAAGGGATTGTGGTGTGGCCATCCCTCTTAGAGGGGGATTTCTTGCTTTCTGACTCTATGTCTCTGTCTTTCTGTTGAGCGCACATGCCCTATAGCAAAAGTCTCTCAAAAAAAGAAAAAGAAATATACATAAAGGAAATAAGGCAGGCTATAGATCACACTCTGCTCTGCTAAAGATCCTACCCTCTGCCACATTGTAGCCTCACCAGAAGTTGGACTCTGACCTCCAAACTGAACTGAATAAGCCTTTATTTCTTTATAAAATCACCTAGTCTCAGGTATTTCTATTTCTAGTTTTCAATTGCCAGAGGGCACATGTGCCCTAATGGGATGTGGTCATGCCACAATTCTTCTCCATTTCTCACTCTGGCAGGATTATGGACACGATTCAAATGCATGTGGTATCTTTAAGCCAGTGGGGCCAGGCTTCAAAGCATAGTCAGTCATGTGAGATCCAAGTCCCTTAAATGCCAGACCATGGGGGCAACCCCTAGTCTTAGGTATTTTTGTTAGCAATGTAATGATAGACTAAGACACATCATTTCAGTTAAGAAAAAATCAGTGTTGTCACTCTGAAGGCCACAAATTCCCACCTCCTCTCTTGTCCTCAAGTGCTTGAAATCTTTGTTTTTAAGTAGTTTAAATGGGATGTTCTGAGGTATGGGTTTTTTCTTTTTCTCTTAAAAAAAAAAAATCCTATTTTGGGGAGGGCCTAGGAGGTAGCGTGAAGGTTAAGGCAGCTAGATCCCACATGGCCAGCTGTATGGTTAGAGTCCTGGACCAGGCAACCTGAAAAACATGCGAGACACATGTGTATGTGTGCCCAAAATCCTGAAAGGAGAATCAAGAAGAGATTGTACTGTGGCCATCCCCCTGGGGATGCTTTTCCACTGTCTCTCTGGCAAGTATATACACCCTATCGCAAACTTAAAAAACAAACAAACAAACAAAAAAACTATTTTGTGTTTGCACAGTTATTGTTTTTTTATTTTGTTTGTTTTTTTAAGAGACATTTTTGCTATAGGGTGGATACACTCACCAGAAAGAGAGACAGACAGAAAGCGAGAAATCACCCCCCAGGGGGGATGGCCACACCACAATCCCTTCTCCTCCATTCTCCTCTCGGGATCTTGGGCATGCATGCACATGTGCCTGGCATGAGTTTAAGCCACCAGGTCCAGGTCTCAAACCATGGTCGACTACGTGGGAGTCCAGTGACATAGCCATTATGCCAACTGCTGGTCCTGGCAGTTTTTGATTCTACATTTTCGATGCCTTTCATCAGTTTAGGAAAATTTTTGACCAGTAATTTTTTCAAGTATTGTTCTGTTCCGTTCTCTCTCTGTCACTAGGACTCCAAATAAAAGCATGCGTCTCTCTGTCCCTAGGACTCCAAATAAAAGCTTTTGAAACATTCTGTGGCATCCATCTCTCTCATGACCCTTTTTGTGCTGCCCATCACTTTTCCTGTGTGCTACAATCTGTAGATACGGTCTTCTACTACATTGTCTGTTTTACTGTGTCTGCTCTATTAAACATACCTACTGAATTCTTTAATTCTCAGTTGTAATATTTTTAGTTCTAGAACACATCTATATATTTTTTTACATTTCTAGGTCTCTGGTAAAATTTCCTAGGTTTATCTCTAGTTTTTTAATACACTAGTCACAGTTATTAAAAGTCCCCATCTACTAACTCTAATAACTGAATCACTGTCAATTTGTCACCTATTTTTTTCCTCTTTGTCTTCAGTTATTTTAACTTGAAAATTATTAAAGCATTCCTCTATTGTGATTGAAGCTTGGGGTATTATCTTCCTTCAAAAGAGGAAAAAGAAATTAAAATGTTAAGAGTCATAAACATTTAGATCTTTTAGAGAAGCATTAAGATGCCAATATAAAAAAAAATACAACAAAGATAGGAAATGTAAATAAGGAACCAGCAGTTGGCGTAATGGCTATGTCGCTGGACTCCCACGTAGTCAACCTCAGTTTGAGTCCCTGACCCAGTGGAGACATTTTTGCTATAGGGTGGATACACTCACCAGAAAGAGAGACAGACAGAAAGCGAGAAATCACCCCCCAGGGGGGATGGCCACACCACAATCCCTTCTCCTCCATTCTCCTCTCGGGATCTTGGGCATGCATGCACATGTGCCTGGCATGAGTTTAAGCCACCAGGTCCAGGTCTCAAACCATGGTCGACTACGTGGGAGTCCAGTGACATAGCCATTATGCCAACTGCTGGTCCTGGCAGTTTTTGATTCTACATTTTCGATGCCTTTCATCAGTTTAGGAAAATTTTTGACCAGTAATTTTTTCAAGTATTGTTCTGTTCCGTTCTCTCTCTGTCACTAGGACTCCAAATAAAAGCATGCGAAACATTCTGTGGCATCCATCTCTCTCATGACCCTTTTTGTGCTGCCCATCACTTTTCCTGTGTGCTACAATCTGTAGATACGGTCTTCTACTACATTGTCTGTTTTACTGTGTCTGCTCTATTAAACATACCTACTGAATTCTTTAATTCTCAGTTGTAATATTTTTAGTTCTAGAACACATCTATATATTTTTTTACATTTCTAGGTCTCTGGTAAAATTTCCTAGGTTTATCTCTAGTTTTTTAATACACTAGTCACAGTTATTAAAAGTCCCCATCTACTAACTCTAATAACTGAATCACTGTCAATTTGTCACCTATTTTTTTCCTCTTTGTCTTCAGTTATTTTAACTTGAAAATTATTAAAGCATTCCTCTATTGTGATTGAAGCTTGGGGTATTATCTTCCTTCAAAAGAGGAAAAAGAAATTAAAATGTTAAGAGTCATAAACATTTAGATCTTTTAGAGAAGCATTAAGATGCCAATATAAAAAAAAATACAACAAAGATAGGAAATGTAAATAAGGAACCAGCAGTTGGCGTAATGGCTATGTCGCTGGACTCCCACGTAGTCAACCTCAGTTTGAGTCCCTGACCCAGTGGCTTAAACTCACACAGGGCATGTGTGCGTGTGTGCCCAAGATCCCGAGAGGGGAATGGAGGAAAAGGGATTACTGCGTGGCCATCCCCCCTGGGGGGTGACTTCTTGCTTTCTGTCTCTCTGTCTCTGTCTTTCTGGTGAGTGCACATGCCCTATAGCAAAATCCTATCAAAAAAAACAAAACAAAACAAAAACAAAAACAAATGTAAATAAGATGAGAAATGTAAAAGAGAGACAGAGATGTGGAAATGAGATGTGACCTCCGATCTCCTGCCAATGCAGGCATTTCCTAAGCACCCCCCAGGGGTTGGCCAAGTGTAGTGCCTCCCCTTATGGTGAGCAGAGTTCCCCTGAGGGTACCATGTAGCTGACAGCTCCCTGTTATTTGGGCAAGAAACAAGGGCACAGAGATTGGAAGATGACAGGCCCTGTGCAGCCCAGGCAACTGGAGTCTTCTCCGCATAGCTCCCCTTTTGTTCCTAGAACCATATTTACTTCATTGTTCTGTCTTGGCTAATACCTGCATGCATGAGACTAAGTAGAAACACCATCAGCTACAGTCAAAAGGCCCAGGCCTGAGTACCACCATACAAACTACTAGGTGGGCAACGCTGTGGCTCACCAAGGGCCAGGTACATGTTGTTAGGTGACCAACATCAAGAGTGCAGTCAACTATGAAATGTTGTACAGTTGTCCTCCCTCATCTTTGGGGGTATGCTCCAAGACCCTGAGTAGATGCTTAAAACCATGGATTATACCTAATCCTGTACAGACTATGTTTTTTTCTATATGTCTATAGACATGATAAAGTTTAATGTATAGACTAGGCACAGTAAGATATTAACAATAACTCATGATATGGAGATTACACATATCAAGCCCATTAAAGATAATACATATATATAAACATCAGCCTCTAAAATCAGAGTTTTAAAGCAGAAGGGATAATATCTTGTTATCCCAACTTCTGTACCCAGCAGAGTGCTCTGCTCATAACAAGTACACAAAAACATTTGCTAAGATATAGTAAACACCCATCACTTGGTCATACCACATCCGTGTGCATGGCTAAACTCTAGAAAGAAACGCACTGGTTAGTCCAAAGTCATCAAGGCACAAAATGGAAGCTACGTTGGTGCAACCTAAGGAGTCTTGGAAACGGAACACACGACTGTTCTAGGACAGAATTCATGTCCAACATTTCAAAATGCCTACTCATAGCACATGTCAGTCCAGCTAGCACTCTCTACACTGACCCATGTGCTTAATGGTTTGGGTATTTGTCCCTCTACTGACAACAGCATAGTATCACACTGACGTACTTTGCAAATTTCACAGTGGTTGCATTCCGAGGCACGAACCCAGTATGGAACTGAATCTGGAACATCTTCATAGACGCCATCTGCAAGAAGAAATCAAACGGATGATCCTTCATGCTTTGGTAGATGGGTTAGACACTCCGGTCACAGAAAAAGTTATTCCCCTTAATAACAGCTATCACTGTTATCGAGTCATGGGAAAAGATTTTACATTTAACAAGTTCTAGGAACTGCTCAGTGGTGCTCAAGGTGCTGGGGACACAAGACAGGTCAAGCATCATCCTCTGTTGTGTGTCATAGGAGGAGGCGTCAGCATGAGGCAAGGAGCCCAGGAAGAAACAGCTCGTGGATCTATGGTGGGGCAGCCACAAGCCGTGGAGACTCTCTATAGGAGACAGATATCCTATGATGTGCTCAGAAGAAATTCTAGGCTTTTCTGGCTAAAATCCCCTCTGCCTTGGTTATACAGGGAGAGCAGGAGCCCTGAAAAGGCAGTTACTGAAGGAAAGCTCAGCAACTCTCACTGAACAAACAGCTTGACCCAGAATCCTCCACAAGAATTGCCAGAGAGGCTCAGGTGGCACTAGTGAGTGGCACATGCAAGCAGCAGAGGGGCGGGACGACCTACCAGAGCTTGAGAAGGGCCTGCGGAATCACTCACCTTGGCCTGCAGCCTTCCTCCCAGGGTTGACCTTGCATGATAAATTATAATGAGCACGTCTCCTTGAACTGTAATGCCCAAGGGAATAACCGCTTTGCCATCCTCAATTTTAAAATCCCTAAAGAAGAGAATGGTGACAATTATTCACTTAAGTAAAAAAAGTGTAACATTCTAAGAAACAGTGACCTCCAATTAACTATTAACTCCAGGAAGAATTCTGAATCTTCTAAAGCACTGAACACTTAAATCCATGTGTTCTTTTTATGATTGTGGCATCAAATTACTTTACAGGGTATTTACTCTGCAAAGAGCTTTGCAAGCACAGGTGACTACAGGAATCCCTCAGACACAGCACTGAATACGAGTCCCCGGACAGAGCCTGCAAAGGCCTGTGTGTACAGGCTCACTGCCACAATCCAATGCAACAGGCAAAGGAAATACAGTTCTAAACATCTGCCTCAGTAATATCTGTTATAATATGGTCAGATTTCTTCTTTAAATATTTTCCAGAGCCAGCCCTGTATCTTGCTGGTTAAGAAAAGTTGGATCCTACTTGGCCAACCATGGTTCAAATCCTGGCCCTGATGGCTTTAAAAATATGTGGGGCTTGAAAACCACATGGGATGGGGTGTGTGTGAGGCAGCATGTTCATGAATACCAAAGGTCCTGCCAGGATAGAGAAATGGAGAAGTAACTGTGGTATGACGATGGCCCACTGGAGGGTGTTTTCTCCCTCCCTCCCTCTCTCTGATGAGTGCCCGTGCCTTCTGGGAATATTTTTCTTCCCAGAGAAATTTAATAGTCACAGACAAGAAAACTACATTTGCACTCACTTCATCTTGTCATATTCCTGGGATGTGGTGGTCACACGCTCGTCACCCACGTAGACCTCACAGAATGGTCGGCAACCGTTCCTCTGCTTGCTGAACAGCGGCACAGGGGTCATGACAACGGCCTTCACCAGGATTGGCTTACTGTGGGGTGTGATGGGCTCTTCGGCCACCATGTCACACATGTATTCAATGTACCTGAAAGGAAGACACACACTTAAGTCACCCACATGCTATGTGTCCCTGAGAGGAAGAAACGCACTGTGTCATCCATGCTATGTATCCCTGAGAGGTCGACATGTCCCAGATCTTCTCTTTTGAAATATAAGTATTTAACACTATAGATTTGCCTTAAAGCAATGTTTTAGTTGCTCCTCAGATTTGGTATTGATTTTTCCAGATATTTTTGCTACCGATTTCTAGTTTTAGTCCATTATTGCCTGAGAACATAGTTTTTATTTTGGATTATTTCAATTTTAAAATTTGTTGAGGTTTAGTGATGCAAAATATAACCTTCCCTGTTGAAAGGTCCACTTGCAACTAAAAGAAATGTGCATTTTAGAGAGGGTAGGTTAGCTGGTGGTATAGTTCATTCAGTTCTATATCCTTGCTGATTTTCTGTCTACTTGTTCTATTCATTACTGAAAGAAGAATCTCTGTTTTTTCTTTCAAGCCTACCAGTTTTTTGCTTTATAAATTTTCAATCTATTTTGTCTAACATAGATATATCTTCTCCAACTTTCTTTTGGGTAGTACTTCCATGATTCATCTTTGTGGTACATAAACTCATACCTTCAAATCTGTATGATCCCCACCTCTCCAACCTCCTCAAAGCCAGTGCAGGAGCAGTGACTTGCCTCTAGCACCTTCTGTGATCATGGGCAGACCCATCTTCCTTGATGGCCTAGATATAAGGGAATAGCCAAGAGCCTCTAGGAATTGAGAATGTGTTCTGCTGTGGTCAGCTGAAGCTAAGACAATAAGTTCTTCAACCATAAGTAAATGAATTCTGCCAAGAGTGGGCTTGGATGCAGATTTGAAAATGAAGGACAATGGGCTTAGAGCCAAGCTTTCACACAGCAACACAGCTTGGTCAACATCTTAACTGTAGCCTTACATGACTCGAGCAGAGGACCCAACTAAGCATCATTGACCACTTCTGACCCACAGAAACTGAGAGCAAATGTGTCTTGTTTTAAACCACTGTTTATTAATTTGTCATGCAGCAGCTGGTAACTAACTTACTCTTCACCATTTTATTCTTAATCTATCTGTACCTTCATGTTTAAAGGTACTCACAGTGTATAGCTGGGTCTTGCTCCCCCCACAACCCCCGGAGAGAGATTTTTGCTATAGGTACATGTGCTCACCAGAGAGACAGAAAGCGAGAAATCAACCCCCAGGGTGATGGCCACACCTCAATCACTTCTCCTCCATCCTCCTCTGGGATTTTGGGCATGCACACACATGCATTAGGCATGAGTTATAAGTCACTGGATCCGGAACTCAAACCTCAGCCAACTATGTGGGAGCCCAGTGACATAAACATTACTCCATCCAGGAGTCCCAGGTCTTGCTTTTTTATCCAATCCGAAAATCTCTGTCTTTTAACCAATTTCCTTAGACTATTCACACTTAATCTAAATGTTGATACAGGTGGATTAAAATATATTATCTTACTAGTTGTTTTCTATTTGGGGCATGGTGGCGCCCGCCCTATGGCAAAAACCTATGGAGGCTGGAAGATTGCGGCATCGAGTCCATCTCACTCTATCTGTTCCATTTGTTCTTGGTTTTAAGCCTTTTTTCTTTATGCTTTCTCTTGGATTAATTGAGCATTTTTTATGCTTTCTTTTTTATTTCTTTTATTGACTTATTATAGCACTTAAAAAAAATCTTTAGTGGTTGTCATTTTCTATGTGTATGTATCATTTTCTTCTGACTACCATCAAGACTCCCTCTGTATTATATTACAGCAGTTTGAACCAGTATGATATACCTAAGTGGAATTTTTTAATGTTTATTTTATTTCACTCCTGCTTGGTGTCCTCTGAGTGTTTTGGGTCTGTGGTTTGGTATCCGTCATTAATTTTAGAAATTTCTGAGTCATCATTTCTTTTACATTCCTACTTCCCTATTCACTCTTGTTCTGGATTCCAATCCTGTGGATATATGTCTGACTATTGGAGATGGCTTGTCAGCCCTTGAATGCTCAGCTTTTTCACTGTTGTCTTTCCACATTGCTGTGTGAGTACTACCTGTGATTTGTCCTCTAGTCCACTAGTCAGTTCCTCAGCTAGGTCAAGGCCATCTCTGAGCCTGTCAAAGGTACTCTTTGTCTGTGATTATGCTTTTTTATTTCTAGCATTTCCATCTGAATCTTCCTAAGCTTCCATCTCTCTGATAAAAAGGCCCATCTGACTTGTCTTATTCTACCTTCTTCATTGGAGTCTTTGCATGTTCATCACAGTTATTTTAAGTTTCCTGTTAAACAGTTCCTACATGTGGCTCTGTCTATCCTGTCTGGAGGCAGGAAGAAGGGTCCACGATGGGCCTGTGGCTCCTTTGGAGCAGCTGCATCCCTCTCAGGCAGACTCCCCAACCTCTAACCTGTCCTGCAAGCACCCCTGAGAACTGTAGAGGATGTACCTTTAGGAAGGCACACACTCTCCCATGCTCCGAGTCCCCCAGAGATACCTGTCATGGAGGCACCCTCGCTCATCACTGGTTCAATTTCACCTGGCTCCCTCTTCTGGTACCTAGTTATATCCATCCTGGACAACAAATGCTTGTGTCTTTGTCCCTGCAGGCACCTGACTCTCCTTGGATTTTGGACTAGCTGCTGCCTCTGCGACTTCAGTTCTCCAACGGGTTTGAAGAAATCATAAGTTTGAAGCTCATTCAGGTAGTCATCAGGGTGGGTGTGACTTTCTGCACATCTCAAGTACACTTCCAAAGATGGAGGGTGGGGGTGGGTTCCAGGGCCCAGACACACACTGCAGGTAATGAGACTCTCCTTGGTTCTCAGACCCAGCCTGTCTAGTAGGATCCTGAAGTGGGGGGCACAATTCAGGGACCCCTGACATGTTTAGAAAATGGGAACAGAAATGGTTTTTAACTCAACTTGTTAAAAGGGCTCCTGCCTTGGCTTCCCCCATTGTCAGGACCACCTGGGGAACACATCACTGCCATGACGCCCTGGCCCTGGCAATGAGCAAACAAGGTAAGGCCCCATTCACCCATTTATGCTGTAAGAACAGCGACCGAGCTATGTCAGTGGGCTGTGCAACCAGCTGAGTGGGAGGGATGGCGGACACAACCTCCCTCATGGGCCTAAGCCCTTCTCGTCCTCTAGCAAGGACATTCTTTCAGAAAGAGGAGACTGCTCCAGCCCAGCTCATGGCGCTTCAGTAAGAACAAACTCACAGAGGGAGTTTACGCTGGGAAGTGACTCCTCAGATCAGGGTTTCTGAAGGGTCATCCTCGCTGCAGGCGAATGGGCAGAAGTGGGCAGAGTAGATGTAGGAAGCCTCTCTGGTTGGTGAATGAAATGGTCCCAGTGAGAGGAGAGAATGGGACAGAGCTCGCCAGAGCTGTGAGAGATCACTTTCTTTAAAATGCCAAGTGCAGACTGCCTTCTCTTGAGGCAGAGCAGCAGGAAGGCCTGCCTGTCTCACAGGACCCTAATCACAGGTATGTGACCACCGTGTTCACAGCCAGAACATTCTAACACATACATCTACCAAAACCCATCAGAGGATTCCCCTGAGAAGGCTCGGCTGGAACCAAGGGCCCAAGGCCATGCCAGGCTCAATGTCTGCTGGGCAACATTGGTGCTCAGGAGCTAGATGGGATGGGGTCAAGGAACTGCCGTGCTGAGAGTCCAAGTAGGGTGTCAACCACAGCCTATTCTCAACGGGTCCCTAAGAGCACTAGTTTGGGTCAAGCCGGCACTTAGTGAGGGCTGGCAGCTGTACCCAGGGAGCCAGGGGGCCTGTGGTACCTTTTGTGGGACGGCCAGATGCCAGGGGGGCAGCGCTTCATACTGAACATGTATACGGCGGCCTCTGCGGTACTGAAGAGACGACAGAAGCACAAGAAGGAGCAGACAGCCACCGCAGACGCAGCTCTTCCATCCTAGGACAGACAGACATGCAGGTTCACACACAGCTTTGTGCAGCGGCATGGGGGTTCTCGAGGGTTCCTGTAGGCTTCCTAACGACCCAGGCCACTGAGAACATGATGCAGCCATTGCTCTCTGATTTGGGGATATGTTTATAAGCCTTTTAGTATACCTGGTGAGAGAGAAATTTGAGGCTCCACAGAGAATAAAGGTTCCTTAACAGAAAGCACAAGCTGGCCAGCTTCTCCAACTGGACTCGTGACAGTCGACTGAATCCTCTCTATCGTTTATCAACACTATAATGGCAGTAGGTGAGTTCCAAGTGTTTTTGGTATGTAAGGCTTACAAACCTCAAACCCTTGCTCAGCAGACTGGAAAGCCAAAAGTACGGACTTGTCATTGGCCACAGTTAAGGAGAGGCCGGTCCCAGGTTCTAACATGGCACAGCAGCCTCAGCACTAGGCTGCATGGGTCAAGGATATGTGGGCACTCTGCAGGAGGCTCTCACAAAGTGTCACAGTCTACCAGAAAGGGCAGGGAAATTTCTTGGTCTATCTCCACCAGACCCTAGGCCTCTTGGGTGGAGGAACTTACCTCTGGTGGTATGTCCTTCTCTACCATGTCCTAGAGGTTAAGAATAGTTCTCAACTCAAAGCTGGTGCTCAGTTTTGTTGGAAAAGTGTGTGAGAGTATGAACTTCAGTAAAAAACACAAAGAGCAGTCACTATGTGATCCATACTCACCATGCAGTGAACAACACAGACATTTTTGTGGTCCTGCCTGAGCCAGGAGTGCATGTTCTTGCAGATGTTGTACAGGTTGTGGAGATTTGGAGCCCGCCTGGCTGCCCAGCCACACTCAGACACCTGCAGGGAGAGACTCTGCTCAGCTCTGCTCAGCTCTGCTCCCACACCAGTGCTGTGAGTGTAGAGTGAGAAGGGCTCCACGCGTCCACATGATACTCCTGCGTACATCTGTGTGAACCAGGAGGGACAGACTTGAATGGGCACGGTGGGAGAGTCCCTCCAGTGCCCTCCTGTTAGGGCTCAGCAGCTCTACCTGCTGAGGTTCTCGAACAGGTATCCGTCTCAGCCTTGAGCTCTTCTGTGCTGCAGGATCTGTGTAGCAGGGCCATCCCGGACACGGCAGTAAGAGCTGCCTGCCTTGTCCTCTGCTTTGGGTCAGTTTAAATGCTGTGAAAAGCATCAGTGTCCAAAATGTTTATTTACAAAAAACCTGTGTGGCCACATGTATGCTCCTTCCAGAGGGCAAGAAGCAGCAAGGGAGGAGGGAGGCAGCTTGCATTTCTTCATCAAACAATGACCTTTAGTACACAATAAGCTCACCAGATTCTCTTCACAGTCCATGCCAAGGAACCTCCCATCAGCTGTCACTTGGCCAGATAGATGGCCCCCTCCCATCACAAACTCAAGGGCCCAACCTCCAACTATAGCCACATCATGGTCAGCCCTGGACTCTGCTCACTGCCAAGCACTTACGCAAGTTGAAATGTCAACCTAGAGTTACAACTAAGTGAAAATCAAGCATACAAAACTGAAGTGAAGGGGGTTAAAATCTCCAATTAAACCAAAACAAAGCCTGGGGCTGCTCACTCGGTTGTGAAACTTGGAGGGCCTGTATGTTCTCGGGGACAGGTTATAGACAGCGTAGTGTCCCGGGTGCTTGGAGTCTAGAAACAACCGCACATCTTCTATGTTGTTCTTGATTGCTGACTCCACACCTTCTGCTGGGAACGACATCACTGAAACAAAGCGGGCCCGGGTCAGCCTTGCGACCAGCCACCACCCCAATCCGTTCTGCTCCTGGGTGAGGATGGCCTCCTGAAGCTTTACCAGCCACTGGCATGACAGCTGGCTATACACAGGGCCTTTGCCCACTACCCACCCCTCCGGAACTCCCAGCAAGGGTTATTGGCTAGGGAACATGGGGCAGCTGCATGCCTGTCACCTGGTCACCAGGAAGATCCTGCCAAAGTCACCACTGGGACTTGCAGAAAGAGCCACCAGACAGTAAGTTCTGTAGAGAGCCTGATGCCCAGCGGGGTCTCCAAGCATCGGCATCAGCTTTTCTTTTTTTTCTTTTTCTTTTTTTTTTTTTTGCCTTAAGACCCAGGTTTTAGGTCTGTAAGACCTGCTTCACTTCCTTTGTGATCTCAGGGTTCCAGGAGGAGCCAGACTGGTGGGGAGATGGGCTGATACTGGTGATGTCCACTATATGGGTGCAGAGGCACCAGACATGGGCCACCCCACCTGCTGCCCTTCTTGGGACAGTAAGCTCACTACAACTGCGGTGACTGGCTGCTCAGGAGGCTGGAGAAGAGGCACTTCTGCCATGTTGCCAGTCACCGTGGCACAGCTTCCTGAACGACGGGCAGCAGGACACACTGGAGGCAGCAGCTTCGCGAGCTGTCCTCACACACCTTGAGGCTCAACTTGGCAACATACCGGCAATTCTGGATGTGATGTAAGATATATCCAGGTCGCCCTTTGCATAACTGGAATTAGAAAGAGGAGTACTTGATTATTACAGGAAATATTTTATAGGTAGTCACAAGAACAACGAAGCCCACATCCTGGAGAAACCAAGGGGTTGCATCCTGTGAGGAGCACGTATGTGCAAATGCTTATGTGTGTAAGCTGTGTGGAGTGATGTCCCTAACAGAAATGAACAAAAGTATAATCTACAGGTAGTAGGGAGGCAAGGTCTGCCAGAGAGGAAGGATCTTGAATGGTCTTACTGCTGTTCTTAAGCCTTCTCCAAAGGGGCTGACGTTAGTCGCTGTTATCAGTGCTGGCCTGTGGAATTCAGGCTGACCCTGTTGAGGGTACCTATCTTTCTCTCAAAAGAAATAATAATTGAAGGAAAAAAGAGAGAGAGAGAGAGAGAGAGAGGGAGAGAACAGCCACAGACTCAGTGGTCAGCAGCCCAAAGACACAGTACACCTGTGTGGTTACTGTTCCACATCCTCATGCCCTCAGAGGATGCCAGCAGACACCATCAGGGAAAAAAAGTACTAAGCACCTGAGTTGTTGCACTGCTCTTAGTCTGAAGACGCTGACTATCCTCATAATTGAAACTTGATAAAATGCTGATCAAAATCCCTGAAAGGTTATTCTAAAATTCATTTGAAGACAGTTTGCAAGAACAGCCGAAATGTCTTGGAAAGGAAGGGATAATGAGATAGCTTGCCTCACCACAACAGCTCACAGGCTGGAGCTGAAGGGACACAGACATCCTCAGAGAACAGAACTGGCGTGACCACAGAAAACTGTCAGCAGAGGAGCCATTCATGTCAGGCAAAGCAGGCAGGATCAACCAAAGACCTCCCAAAAGGACCCAAATACATGCATTATTACCACTAAAAGAAAATATAACTGTGATACACTTAAATATATAGAAAACTTGTTTAAATCTATTTAAAATACGCTTCAGAAGGTCTTCCTAAACAAGGTAAGAAACAGAGATGTACAGATAAATATGATGTTTTAATTTAAAACTTCTAGAGGACAAGACATTTAAAAAAGAGACACCAGATAGTGATGCAGTGGTGACTCAACACTGCGAGGCTGAAGCCGTGTGGGAATATCCTATGTTCATGTCCTGGGGGTCCTCCTGCGCCCAACGGGCACATTAATGCATGCCTATGACCCTGGCTGGTTGAGGCTGGGGGTGGATCACAGCATGAAGACCCTGTTGAGGGTGCCTGTCTATCTCTCTCAAAGAAATCAATGAAGAAAAAGAGAGAGAGCGGGCAGCCACAGACTAGGACGCAGTATTAGTTGTATATGTTTTTTGCACACAAAAAAAATAGTACAAAGAACACATCTGAACATCGGTAAGAAAAATAAAAACACGGCTCGGCTGCAATGCCGCGTAGTGCTGGGATACTGTTGGGTGGAGACCGAGGCCACATAGGAGGCACAGGCTCAGTTCATGGCCCACCCTAAAACAGGCTGAGAATGAGGTACCCATGGTCCTAGTTAGCTAGACAGATGGGGGATCCTGTCAAAAAGCTCTCTCTTGGAGTCAGTCAGGTGGTGTTCCACATGGTATCCTATCTGCATGGTTGGGTCCCACAGGGCAGACCGTGCGGTTCAAGTCCCAGACCTGGCAGCTTGAAAAACACACCAGGCATGTATGCACGTGTGCCCAAAATCCCAAGAGGAGAATGAAAGAAAACGGACTGCAGCGTGGTCACCCTCTAGGGAGGTGCTTCCTGACTTTCTCTCTCTGAAAATCTTCCTCCAGTCAGCACATGTACCCTATAACAAGTAAAAACAACAACAAATAGAGAAAATGCTCAAAGGCTGAAATTGGGCCACTCACTGCAGAGAAGTACAAGCAGCAGGCGCAAGTGGACAGGATCCACTAAGCTGCAAAGGTAGGACCTAAGACCAATTCCTGGGCATCCAAAAAGGGTGAGTCTCCCAGGGGAGTCCTGAGAGCCCCAGCTTGGCCAGCACCAGGTGAGACAGGTGAGACAGAGGTGAACACAACAAAGTAACTTGCTGAGTACTGTCAGGGTCTACACATCTCACCCCAAACCTCCAGCCCAGCATGGATGGGGCATGAGTCATGTGGCTCTGGCTGTGCTGGTTCCAGGCACAGGTGCAAGTTGACATGCACAGTAGGTCAGTACCTAACACGGACGAGGAAGAAATAAGACTCAGACACGGGCTCGGGCCCCAAGACTCCAGTTCCCAGGATGCCATGCTAACAACAAACAGTATGGCTCATGCTCAAAGCGCTTCTTCCTGGGTTATGGTACCCAGAGCAGTCAGAGGTGCTACATCACCAGTCCCACTGACAACCTGGACTTCCCACAGGTTAAAACTCGCTGAAGGCTCACATAATTTTTAACATTTCTTAGCAATGAAGTACTTTTTTAACTAAGGTATGTTGTACTTTTTTTTAAACACAATGCTATTACACACATAACAGACTACAGTATAGTGTAGACATAACTTACATGTGCTAGGAAATAAACGAAAAAAAACTTGTGGGACCAGCAGGTGACGTAATGGCTATGTCGCTGGACTCCCATGTAGCCAATCGCAGTTCAAGTCCTGGACCTGGTGGCTTAAAGTCAGGCGCGTGTGCGTGCGTGCCCAAGATCCCGAGAGGAGAATGGAGGAAAGGGACTGTGGCGTGGCCATGCCCCCCTGGGGGGGTGATTTCTCGCTTTCTGTCTCTCTGGCAAGCATGCACACCCTATAGCACAAACCTCTCGGGGGGGGGGGGCAAAGGTTGTGGCATAACTTACATGTGCTAGGAAATAAACGAAAAAAAACTTGTGGGACCAGCAGGTGACGTAATGGCTATGTCGCTGGACTCCCATGTAGCCAATCGCAGTTCAAGTCCTGGACCTGGTGGCTTAAAGTCAGGCGCGTGTGCGTGCGTGCCCAAGATCCCGAGAGGAGAATGGAGGAAAGGGACTGTGGCGTGGCCATGCCCCCCTGGGGGGGTGATTTCTCGCTTTCTGTCTCTCTGGCAAGCATGCACACCCTATAGCACAAACCTCTCGGGGGGGGGGGGAAAGCTTGTGTGCCTCATTTCATTGTGATATTTACTTTACTGCAAAACAATACAGATTTGCCAGTACTAGAAATGCTCATTCTTACTGACCTGAACGTAATGTCTATTAAGACATTACTTGATCCTTTTTTTCTCTGTCTCCAATCTGACTCTTACAATACCACTGCCAGGAAGGTCTTGGGCAGTCTCCAGCTCTTGTAGGTCTCTATCCTGCAGTACCTCACTTGGTATCTCCATGTCACACCTCAGTCTCCAAGAATGACTCGGGTTACACACCAACATGATATGTATCGTTATATTTATTGGTTTACATTAATACTCCATTTCAAAAATAGTTTTCTTTTCACATCACATAAGATGCTTATCTGTTTCCAGAGTCAAAATTACTGAATCAAAAGTGAACTGCCATGCTATCGACACCCTCTGTAGGGATTCACATATTTGTTTATCCAAAATTCTTTTTCAAACAATCTGTCCGTATTCAAGAGAATACACCCAATCTGATCACAGTCCAGCCATGCCCTCACGCCTCTTCCATTTACACTGAGCCTGTGGTTTACGAACCAGGCCCTCCACTGCTGGCCTCGGGGGGACTCCACTGTCTCACACACTCTCATCCCTTCCCCCATCTCCCTCTTGGCCAATGACCCTGGAAGTCCAAGGCCCAGGGCATCTCCCCACAGTCTCGCTGAGGTTGTGAATGCAGGATGCTGCCCACCAGACAAGTGAAAAACACAGCTGAGTCCAACCCTAAATTTTTAGTCCCCTTTTTAAGAGTGAGGTTGAGTAACTGCTGCACACCCAGGAATCCATCACCTGTTCACTGTCACTTGGGGCTACAGTTCAGGAGCCTCAAGTCCCAGGACCCATGAGGACAAAGAATAGAACTGTGACTTGCCCAGGCTGAGAGTCATATTTGGGCAGGAAATAACAGGGGTCAAGCTAAAGACAAGGAGGCCGGACTGTGACCAAGAAGTTCAGGTCATCTTGCACCTAGACCAGGACACAGGACTGCAGTCACTGGGCCTACACCCTGCCCTGCGCAAAGTCCAGTCTGTGGGGTGAACGGCACTCCTGAGCACACATGCAGTGCCCCCCGGCACAGCACCGTCCTCACAAGCTCACACCTGCATTTGCGATGCATGCAGACAATAGATGAGCACCAATCCTCCACTTCTGCCAGGCCCCTGCCCAGTCTCTGCTGGCCCTTCACACCCGGAAATGCCAGCCAGACCTCGCAGGAATCACAGCCCCAACCCCAGGGGACAGAAGCCGGCACTGGAAACCAGCAGAACTCTTTTTGATCTTGTCGGCTGTGATGTAGGAAGGAGGCATTACAGAAGAGCCAGGGCATGTGACAGAGGGCACGCACAGCACTGTGAGCAACATATGCGCACATGTGCTCACGCACAGACTTCCAAATTACCACATGTACACACTTGCACTCACACTGCACACATGCTCACACCTGAACATGCACACTGATGTACACATATAATCATACCTGTGCCCACACACACACACTCACAAGCATGTGATGGTGCCGTAGAGAATTGCAGACACAAAGCAATGATCAAAACACAATGAGAAAAAAAAAAGAAAAGAAAGCCAAACTGTTTTATCAACTGTAGCACAAACATGGTAACTACAAATAGTTGTCAGTTCCTGACACCTGAGCACACTCTGTTCAGCTCCTACAGTTTCTGAAAGACTAACAGCTTCAAACTGGCCAGTGGTTGCAGTGTCAGGTGACCAGGGTCAGGAGTGCTCCCCTGGTACGCCCTAAACAAAGCTGAGCTCTTTCAGAAGAGCTGGCATAGGGATGTCCCTCAACACAGTGGGGGCCATGCTCTGCAGCCTTCTGTAGCACCAGGCTGGCTGCAGGTCGGCATCCAGGATGGGATGGCCTCCACTTGCAGACATGCATGCTCCTTGGACAGTCCCGCCCACAACATGGCTTTAGCTAACCACACCTTGGTCTAAGTTTGAATAATTACAATTTAAAAGGAGAATCACATTAGTGAAGTCTCGCTGCACTCTAGGATACCTCTCCCATTTTACACCAAAGAAAAGAAACAACACCAGCATAAGGGGCATTAGCAAAGTAAGAGGGTCTATCCCCAAGAGGAGGTCTGTGGGAGGTCCTCCTGGCTCTGTAGTTTACTAGACTTATTCCCACTTACTCTGGTCCCACCAGGAGAAAAGGGTGATGCATTCCACAGCTTCAGGGGCTCACGTGGCAGGGGTGGAGAACGGGAGCAAGAGCCCTGCAGACCCAGGCCAGATGCCTCACCCTCATGTCCCTCACACTCACTTAGCAACAGACTGTATGACCTTGGAGGAGGTGTCCTTGAGGTTGGTGAAGAGCCGCTCCGTACCACCCCGCAGGATGTCAAGGAACCCACCGTAGGGCTGGTCATACTCTGCCAGGGCCAGGCCTGCAGGGGGAGACAGGTTTCAGCAGGTCACAGGAACACAAGGTCTCATCACATTTCCCAATGGGTAGCCCTGCTGGCCCTACACGTGCCCAGTGGCAAGCCTGGTCACAGAACCATCAAACCTGATCACCATCCTTAGCCACTCCAAAGACCAGGGGAAGTGGTCAAGGTAGGTACAGAAATGTCCCATGGATACACCTTGAAGATGGCTTCCAGCTGGAACTCTGCCCACGTGTGGGGACAGAAGGCCAGCTCATGACCACCTCCAGACCACCACTGCCCTGGACATGAACACAGAGTGGTGACCAACCAAAGTAGAACCTGAAATCACAGGGTCCCAGGAATGAGGCCTTCAGAGAAATCTCTGGTGGTAGAAGCTGGCATAAGAGAAAGCCACCTGGGACCAGCAGATGTCCTAACAGTTACGTTGCTGGACTCTCATGTAGTGGACAGTGGTTCAAGTCATGGACCCAGTGACTTAAACCTCACACCAGGTGCATGTGTGCCCAAGATCTCTAGAGGAGAATGGAGAAGAGATTGTGGTGTGACCTCCCGGGGTGGGAAGGGGGAAAAGATGATTTCTCACTTTCTGTCTCTCTGGCAGGCACCCACACAGAGAGCAAAAATCTCTCTCAAAAAAAAAAAAAAAAAAAAGTCACCTGATCAATGTCCATCACATGAAAAGATCCCAAGACCTCTGTAGCAGGACCCAAGGCCCGAGAAACACAGAGCTAGCACAGGATGTTGCAGGACTCAGCACTCAGGCCTCCAGGGCAGCAGGAGCTGAGGCTGGCTGCACTCATGACTATCAGTAAACCCTGGATGCTGGCAACGTCCCAAGTGAGCTGTGCCCATTGCCACTGTGCGTAGCTCCCCCTCAGCCTGGGTCTCCCTGGCTCCTGCCCCAGCACCTCTTCTCTGGCTGATTATAATCTGAGTTCCTCGCTCATCCTAGGCCACAACCTGAGGTCATCAGTTTTGCTGGATTCTGTGGGTCCTAGTGAGCTCCTAAACCTTAGGACAGCTGTGGGGACCTTGACCTTGCAGTCCATTTCCTGCTGTCACTGAAGGCCTCCCTTTTGAGATGGGTGGTGGGTATAGGACAGGGGTGCTCACCTCCTAGGGTGTGACTGTGTGGAGTACTCACCTCCACTGTAGCCACTATTCACAGGGCCTGAGGGCAAGGGCGGCCCTCGGGATGGAGCAGTGTTCCCATAGCCTCCATTCTGCTCCAGGAGCTGCAACAATGAAAACGGATGCAAGTTGGTTCCCTTAATCCAAAATGTCTGGGCCATGGGTACTGGCCCTAAAGCCTTGCAGTTAAGGGAGCTAGATCTCACATTGTCAATCACAGTCAAATCCCAGTCCTGGCAGCGCCAGGTGAATGTGCAAGTATGCCCAATATCCTGATGAAGAAATGGAGAAGGGAACGTGGCAAAGCACATGCCCTCTGGCAATAAAAAGTCAGAGCCACAGTTCACACCTGCCCCATGCCAGGAGAGAACACACAGCACCTGTGCCCTGGGGCTATAAGCCACCAAACTAACCCATTTTGTCTCTACCTAGCTTGTTATAAAATACAAGAAAGAATTTCAATGCCTCTAAATGGTCAGCTTGAACCAGAGGCACATTATACCGCTACTCACACAGCTCCATGCGCTAATACTCGGGGTGACTCAGAGGAGGCAGCTGAGTGTTTACCTCACCCAGGAAGGGCCCACTGAGCGCCCACCACTCTCTATCTATAACACAATCTGATTGTTTATATCCTTGAGTTACAAATTCTATTTTTCTTCTTTTTCTTTCATTTTCCCCCCCCAATCCGTTCAACCATTTTAAGCAGACGTATAGCATGTGAAATCTCAGGACATACTATCATCTCGGGTTCTGGGAGCGAGGGTTTTCCCATCAGCTACCTCCTGGGGGAACAGTAAGTGTACTTCCCCGTGAGCCCTCCCACTGTGGACTCTTCTCAGGGAGTCAGCAGGCCCCAGCAGGGGCATACTGTTACTCCTGCTGGCTCTGGGCTCCAGAAGGGTTATGACCAGATACCCTCAGGCATCTCTACTGACCACCGCGTGAAGAGCTTGGTACACTCCTGATAAAGAGTGGCCCCACAATTCCCTGTACATCTGTCCAACCCACTAGTAGAGGGCCAGCCTGACGTTTCCATAAAAAGTCAGCAAGAGAGATCAGGATATGGCAGGCTCCAGGTCATTCCACTGTAGAAAACTGCCCAGGATTCGGCTCCTCTATTCTCTCTGAAATCAGCCCCAAACCATCACTTCCCAAAAAAACTTCTAGATGAGGTCATCAGCGACATCACCTCTCCAACTTCATCTCGCCTGACCCCTTCAGGTGCTCTGTGTCAGCACAACTGGCCCCTTAAGACCTATTCCTGGAGTCTCCACAGGCCTAGGCTTCCAGAGGGAGGCACCATCAGCTCTTCCCCCCTTATCTACACTCTGCATCCTGCCACTCCTCCACCCCAACCCATGTAGCCATTGCTGCCTCCACAGGAATTGCAAACCTTGACTCTCCCCAAACCCACCATCTCTCACCGGGTCCCCATCTTCCGATAAGGACTAGGACCAGCCTCTCTGACCTTTCTTCCATGCACACATTTAGCCCTTCAGCAACACAGAGAGCCAGCCACCCAATAATCAGAATCACTTCAATGATTCAGGCTAATTCTGCTTCTAGCTACAAAGCAATAAAAAGGAACCAACAACTATTTAAAGATAAACAAACAAAAAAACAGCCTAAACAAATGAAGCAAGAGTTCTGGGTCTCCAAACCAAGACCCCCAAGAGAGGAGGTCCTCGTTCAGGAAATACAGATGAGGCCAGGGTGGCTGGGGCAGCTGGAATTTATGGATAGAGCACAGAGCATAGGGCCAAGAGAGTGGGGGCTCTGGAAGCCTTCAGAGCCCTGTCTCCTGACCAAAGTCCTGAACTGTATACATAGGCAGTAGGACTCACAGACACTTTACTTGTGCCCTGTGAGTATGGGCTGGACCTCATGGCTACTTCCAACTACAAGAATCTGGTCAAGCTGATGATGGGCTATATCCACAACTCATCAGAAAAGACCATGAGGATATTCCTGGGCCTACATCCTGTGATCTGCAGACCCACAGGAAGCATGTGGCCATGTGCCAATCATCCCTGAATGCTGCCAGCAGTCAAATGCAACTAGAATTGGACCCTTCTTATGTCAAGCCCTGAGATGACTAGAGCCAAGAGACTAGCTAAGCAGAGGACCAACTAAGCCATGACTGGATGCCTGATGCCCCAAAACGGTGAGACGTCAAAACAAAACAAAAAACCAAACCAAACCAAACAAAAACAAAACACCTCACAACACCACCCAAAATGGAGAAGAGAACTACGACATAGCACTTAGGAAGCCACCCTCCAAGTTTATCCTGGCTGGGAATGTCAAGTCCACAATGCAGATACCTGCAGAGCTACAACTCTAGGGATGCACCTGAGCTGAACCCCAGGCTGCCATGTTGGGGCTCCTCCCCTGCACAGTGGCTATGAGCCTTCAGGGGTCCTATGACTCCACACTGAAGTGGATGAAGGACCCATCAGGTAGCACTGAGAATATGCGATTACAAGCAACACCTTGCAAGTCCAGATGTAGCTGGCGCAGCTGAGTGATCCCCTTACCTCCGTGATGGGTGCCTTGGGGTTCACGTTCCTGGCAGCCGCGATCTCCTGCAGCTGGTGCACCACCTCAGCAATTGACAGCCGCTCCTCGGGGTTAACCTTCAGCATGGCGCCTGCGGCAGAGGCACAGCAGCAAAGCTCGACCCCAGGGTCTCCAGGACAGGATGGCACCACCCTGCTCTTGCAGAGGTTACGAACCACCAGAGGCCACTCCTTTTACATACATTACTGATGTTAAAAGTAGGTGAGGGAATAATGAAGTGAAGAACAACAAAACTGAATAAATGATCAAAAACAACTATTTAGAGCAATGTACATTCACTGAAGGGGTGTGAGTTGGGGAGTACAGACACCATGGTCAGGTGAACAACACCCAGAACAGAGAGGTCTGTCCTTTCCAGGCCCCTGTACCAAGTTTGGGTTACATGGGAACTTACGAATGAGATCGTGGAAGACTGTGTACCGAGTATCATTCAGAGGGATCGAGTACTTCCCATTGACTATTCGAAGTTTTGCTCCATCTTCAAACGGATGCTGTCGGAAGCACAGCAGGTACAAGATGCAGCCCAGGGCCTGCAGGGAGAATGGAGGCTCAGAGCTAGGATGGAGATGTGGGCTGAGAGCCCAGGAACAGTGAAGCAGTCACGGAGGGCAGCTCTTTCCTCAGGGGATTTTGGAGGGGAGCAATTAAGACATGACTTCAATCTTTCATTGGTTTCATGGATGACACACAAGGTTATTAGCAAAGGAGCAGTATGTGCTCTTGGTCCTGACTTATGAACATCAACCTTGCTGAGCAGTTAGCTGTGGCACTCCTCACAGTTTGTGAGAGCCTTGTGTTTCTCATCCTTATCCACCCCAAATAACTATTAGGATTACAGTAGTAAACAAACTTCAAAAGATCCCTTCACAATGAAATGGTTCTCACATTCAAATATTCTGGATCCACTAACCAGTGAGATGTGGATTCCTCTGTGGGAGGGGCCTGGTGCCCATCTCATCCCTGGCATGGCTGGGCAACTATTGAGGAAAAGCTCCTCCGTGACCTCTCTTAGCTATGAGAGGTCAAAGCACAGAGTGAAGGCACAGAGGAGTAAAATAAACAAGGATGAAACGTGCAGAGTCAGCTAAGGATTCCCACAAACCTAGCCCTGAACCAACTACTGGCCTCTTCTCATGAGTTATTCTACCTACAACATCCCACTATGTGAACACAGAGGAGGAACTGTGGTTATTTCAACATCAAGATTTTATATAGCCAAGAGTAACATGTCACATGGGACAATCTGCTAAAGGGCAGGTTAGTCCTCAGGCTAGAATATGGGCTGATAGTCACGCCTCTGGTGTCGAACCATGAAAGTTCATAAAGAAGCAGGAAAAGTCCCTATCATTTCATGCAGGCAACCAGGACTGCCATCAGTCATAGCCTTGGAGAGGAGCAGGGAGAAAGCAGAAGCAGCACCCAGATCAGGCCCTGCCATCACACTAGCCAAGCTCTGACCAAGGGAGGAGAGCATGCCAGGGCCAAGTAAGGCAGTGACACCTCAGGACTGGGAGCTCAGGGGTTAGGCATAAAGGTCAGAGCAGGTGCAGATTAAATCTCAAGGCAGGTCCAGCTACAAGAGGCCAACCCAGAGCCATCTGACACACCAACTGATTCCTCTTCAATCTCATCTCCACTACAAGTAGTCATGAGCTACTCTTTAAGAAAATAACTCTTCTGGGACCAGCAGTTGGCGTAATGGCTATGTCACTGGGCTCCCATGTAGTCGACCGTCATTCGAGTCCCGAGCCCGGTGGCTTAAACTCACTCCGGGAATGTGTGCAAGCTTGTCCAGGATCCCGAGAGGAGAATGGAGGAGAAGGGATTGCAGTGTGGCCATCTCCCCCAGGGATTGATTTCTGTCTCTCTGTCTCTCTCTGTCTTTCTGGCGAGCCTACATGCCCTATAGCAAAAATCTCTTAAAAAAAAAAAAAAAAAGGAAAGAAAATGACTCTACTAAGAAAATGAATATGAGCAGCGCTGTAGCACAGTGGTTAAATGCTCTGCATAAAGAACCAGATACCACATAGCTCACCACAGTTGGATTCCTGGCCCCAGAGTCTTGAAAATCACACTAGGCATATATGCACATATGCCCAAAATCCTGATATAGGAAAAACAGAGGAAATAAAGATTGCGATGGGACCACGTCCCATTCGGGTGTATTCTCTCTCCCTCTCTCTCTGGCAAGTGCATGTGTCCCTTTTGGCAATTGAAAAGGAAAGAAAAAGAAGAAAGAAAGGCCAAGGGAACATGCTGACCCTGAGTCACAGGGAAGACTAGGATCTGTGGCTGCCTGGGGGCCCAGGATAGGCACATGTGTGGGTTCTGGGTGTCCGACTGACTCAGACACAGGAGTACAGGCACTGTGGACCTCACCCAAATATCCTGCTTCTCGCCGATTGGGAAGTTTGAATATAAGTCTATGATTTCTGGTGTTCTATACATGGGTGTCGTGTTCCTCGTGATCTGAAGAAGAAAAAAAAGAAACACAAAACATTTCAAAGGAAAAATTATATGCAAGTCAATATTTTAAATTTTGCATTAATGCCCTACGAAATGCATAGCAGGTACGACAAGCGCTCCCACCACGTTTCAGGAAGACGTCAGTCCCTTGACTCCCTACTCACCTCCTCCACCCCCATTTATCCTCAGATTAATTCACTCCTTGAGACAGGCTGAGATACTCTTCTCCATGAATCTCTATGGCCTCCCATGTTTAATAAAACAACCATGCCAAAATTCATGCACCACACATTCTGTTTTGTTTGTTCAGTTGTCTTACCTAACACTAGAACCTGCTCCAGAATGGCTACTAATAGATAGGCTTTTGTGAGTTGTATTATTCTAGAGAAAAAAAGGAAGCACTGTACTATTGGGTTGTCGGAAAAGCACTGTATTATTTGGTCTCCTACAAAATAATAAAAGAAACTTCTAGATAAATCCTAGTAGAGAACACAGAAGGCTTTAAGAAGAAATAATCAAATTTACTCACATACACAGAGAGGGACAAATGACGAGGAGACCCACAGGGTCCACACTCCTGCAATGCTGGTACATAGTAAACAGAAACACTGATTCCAAGTTTATACATTCAAATAGGCCTGAGGTTAGTGCCACAGCCTGAAACAGGCAAATGTTTCTCAAGCACAATGGGGGAGAGAGAACAAAAGGAATGGAGGGTAAGCTATCCTCTACTAGAGGATAGCTATTCAAGAGTACCTTCCCTGAGGATGGTGAAACAGTCAGATGTAGACCAGGAGGGCAAGGGACAGTACCCATAAAGGCAGACATGTACGGCATATATAAATAATTGCTACACCTCCTAGAGATAAACAATCAACCCAGAGTGGGAAAGAGGCTTCAACAAATACTTTAGAAGCTACACCCTAGGGTAGGTGACTAGTGTGACCAGGCAGCACGGGCAAGGCCTGTATCTTCGACCATCCAATCGTGGGGCAGCATCGAAGTGCACGATTCTGAACTATTGTGTGTGACATACTTCCACTAAAAACTTCACTTGTACAAACTATGGCACTGGACCTTCAACCCAGCAACCCCACTTCTAGGATTCCACCCAGGAGACACTATGCACAAGAATGACCATGGCAGGACAGTCCCCGTACGTGCTAAAAACAACCTAAACAAGAGCATAAGGCACTGGCATACAGACAGGGGGTATGATGTGCTACAAAGACACTAAGATGAGCTCAGCCAACTGCGAGGCATGGCTTCTAGGAAATACCAGTAAGTAAAACAAAAGAGTCAAAAGAGTAGCACAGCGTGAGGGAAAATGGAGCTGAGCAACATACGTCTACCTGCTCATGACTAGGAAAGACATTTGGGAGGGAGACTGAGACCTGGGTAGAACCACACCAAGACTCCAAGGTGGGCTGCAATGAGCAAGAAGCTGTGAGGGGAAGAGGATATAGGGCAACTCTGTATTTTTAGTTCAACTTTTCTGTAAACCTCAAATTGCCCTAAAAAATAAAGCCTATTGTAACTAAAGAAAAAAGAAAAGCCTACATTTATCTCAAATGAGTAATATACCCATTGAAAGAGAAAATCATCCCAGGAATTCTGAACACAAAACTTGACAGGACCTTGTAGTCTTGGCAGCAGATGAGGTGGGAAAAGCACTACAAGTAAGCCCTGAACTCTCAAGTAGTTCTGTTTCCTCAGTGCCATGAGCAGGCAATCCTCAAGCCCACCACAGAGCAGGACTGAGGGCTAACACTTGGCAGGGCTCTCAGCAAGGAGGCAGCAAGGGGTCTGAAGTCCTGGGAGACACGCCAGGGCTGGAGGCACTAGAGCAGTCCCACAGTTCCTACTGTGACAGACACGTGTACATGTGCATGCCTCTGTGTGCTATGTATGTGAATGCTTCTGCTCACCCATGCCCAGCAGTGATGAGCACATCTGTGCTTAGACCATGGTCTCTACTGCCATGTCCCACTCTAAGGCAACAGGGTTCCTCAGAGAAACGGCAACTCCCAGGGCAGGGACGCGGTAGGTACCAGGTGAGCCCAGAATATCCCCAATTCTAGAAAGTAGGTAAATGCCCCAAAATGATGGGAAAATGTCAAAAAAACACACAGGAGCCAACGTGAAGCAAATTCAGAACATTTTACTACCAGTTACTACCATTTTACTACCTTAATTTTACTAATTAAGGACACACTGAATCATGACCATGGAGAAAATGGAACCCAAAAGTCCTTGTGAATCAGAAATACAGGAGTAGGTGCAGGAGCTCCTACCACAGCCATGAAGTCACCCCGAGGGCAGATTGCAAGCATCAAGAGGGAACTGGGAAGGGTGAGTTATACTTAATGCACCCACACAGGTGTTCACAACACAGGGGAGAACAAGAGAACCACACAGACTGCACCCTGCCTGGATGATCCAAAGGAACACACCCAGAACACCTGCACCCAACAGCAGAGAAGGCTGCACTCCATGGGGGACTGCCGGTGGAGAAGGCTGCACCCAACAGCGGAGAAGGCTGAACTGACATGGGGGGCTGCCGGGGCACAACTCCAACCCTGGAGGATGGGCCTCCGTCCTGTGCTCTAGTCTAGACTCAGTCCACAGCCTAGGCTCTTCTCTGGACCTTCAGGCTCTGCCAACTAACTTACAAAAGATCACCAGCTTTGGACATAAACATGTGTGGCACTCTGCCGGCATGAAACACACCTCTGACTTAGTAATGGGACACCGGAGGAAAGTAGAAGCTCTTCCTATGATAAGAACTCTTTGTTGCAAGAGAACTCTTTCTCCTAAGTGTCCCTTTTGGTAGCATGCCAGAATGATTCTGCCCCACAGTGACAGCAGCCATGCCTCTTTCCCATGTGGCCCGATGGTACCAGAAGTAGCTGTGAACACACCTCATGAAAGATCACCTGGCCCACAGCAAACTTTACTCAGACAGCACTTCCACAGCAGAGGCTTCCCCTCAGCACTCTCCCCCAAGTATCTCCACACCCTAGAAGCTTCCTACCCCATCATTTGTGATGGTTTCTCTGTCCTGGATTGTTTTGCTTATAATTTTACAAAGTTTTTTTTTTTTTTTTTTTTAGAGGCTTTTGCTAAAGGGCACATGTGCTCACCAGAAAGACAGAATGACAAAGAAAGAAAGCAAGAAATCACCCCCCAGGGGGGATGGCCACACGGCAATCTCTTCTCCTCCATTCTCCTCTCAGGATCTTGGGTACGCATGCACATGCACCTCGCATGAGTTTAAGCCACTGGGTCCAGGACTTGAACCACAGTCGACTACATGGGAGTCCAGCGACATAGCCATTATACTAACTGCTGGTCCCACAAGTTTTTTTTTTTTTTAAAGCCACCCTAAACATTGTAAGTAGGTTACTTCTTTCTTTTTTTGGAGAGGTTTTTCGCTACAGGGCGCGTGCGCTCGCCCGAAAGACAGAGACAGAGAGACAGAAAGCAAGAAATCACCCCCCAGGGGTGATGGCCATGCCAGAATCCCTTCTCCTCCATTCTCCTCTCGGGATCTTGGGCACGCACGCATGCACATGCGTCCGGCGTGAGTTTAAGCCACTGGATCCAGGACTCGAACCGTGGTCGACTACATGGGAGTACAGCGACAATAGCTATTACACTAACTGCTGGTCCTAAGTTTTTTAATGAATGTATAAGCTACCCACAGGAAAATGCACAAGTTGTAAGAGTTGTAGATGGGGAATTTTTAGAGTGGGCACACCATGGAGTCCCCACCAGCACCCCTGCTCAGAGCTGCCATACCCTATAGCGTCTGGTCTATGCCCTCCTTCCTAGGGCAACTCCTCCTGGCAACCACTAGAAGGATAAGTTCTGCCAGTTTCCTACTTCCTTTCTGCCTGGCGTCTCTCCCTCCATAGGCAGTTGCATACGGCTGTGGTTTAGCTCATGCTCAGAGTACACGCCACCCAGTTTCCTGCTGGGGTCTTCTGGATGGAGCACCTGAGCTTCCCAGGAAGGTGTTACTTTTAAACATTTTTTTTAAATGGCTATATTTGGAATGATGAAAAAGTTCTGGAGAGGAATGGTGATGTCGGCTGCACAAAACCATGAGTGCACCTAATGTCACTGAACTGTACTTAAAAACGTTACAACTGTAAATTTTAGGTTACGTGTATTTCACCACAATCTTAAAAAGACTGGACCAGCCTGTAGCAATGCTACAGGTGGTAGAATCCTGTTGTGTAATGCTAGAACCACATGGGAGGCCTGGGTTTGTATCTCAGGTCACACATTCATAATCCTAGCTGGTTAAAAAACTGAGGGAGGAATTATGGCATGGCAAGAACCTATCAAGGGTGCACACCTCTCTCTCTCTGAAGGGGGTACAACCTCTTTATCTCTCATATAAGATAAAGTTAAAGAAAATTAAAAATATCCAAGAGGACAGTAGGTGATGTAGTGGTTAAGGCACTGGATTCCCACGTGGCTGACTACAGTTCGAGTCTCAGAACCAGTGGCTTGAAAATCATGCTGGTGGTGGGACCAGCAGTTAGGGTAATGGCTATGTCACTAGACTCCCATGTAGTCGACAGCGTCGACCGTGGTTTGCGTCCCGAACCCGGTGGTTTAAAACTCACGCTGGGCGCGTGTGCGTGCGTGCCCAAGATCCCAAGAGGAGAATGGAGAAGAAGGGATTACAGCGTTGTCATCCCCCCTGGGGGATGATTTCTCGCTCTCTGTCTCTCTGTCTCTGTCTGGTGAGTGCACACGCCCTATTAGCAAAAACCTCTCCAAAAAAAAAAAGAAAAGAAAAGAAAATCATGCTGGTGGGCAGGTAGTTTGGTGGTTGAAGTGCTGGACTTCTACACGGCCAACCATGGTACAAGTCCTGGACCTGATGGCCCAAAAATCACAACAAAGTAATAGATAAATAAGTAAATGTTTTTTTTAAAAATGCTAACAGACAATCACATTGGTCGCATGTGTGTACATGCCCGAAATCCCAAGAGGAAAATGGAGAAGGGACTGTGGTGTGGCCCTCTTTCCTAGGTTTTGTTTTGTTTTCTTTTCTTTTTAAGGTTTTTGCCATAGGGTAGATGTACTTGCCAGAGAGACATAGAGAGACAGTGAGTGGGAAAGTGAGAAATCACCCCTGGAGAGGATAGCCACACTGTAAACCTTTCTCTTCCACTCTTCTCTTGGGATTTTGGGCATGCATGCACAGGCACCTGGTGTGATTTTCAAGCCACTAGGTCCAGGATCTAAACTGTAGTCAGCTATGTGAGAGTCTAGCACCTTAACCACCATGCTACCTGCTGGCCCTGGGGGATGATTTTTCGCTTTCCTTCCCTTTCTCTCTCTCTCTCTGGTGAGCACACGTATCCTATGGCAACCTTCCCCCACCCTACCCCCCCAAAAAAGACAAGAAAATAGCCATAAGACATTCAGAGCCAGATTCGGGTGAGGAAGATGATGAGAGACAATATCCACCCTGGTTTGCTTTGTGTCTCAAGCACCAGCCCTGACGGCAGTCTGGAGAGACAAAGCCACTTGGATTGTGGAATCACGGAATCTGTTCTGATTTGGCTTATGGAGACATGCCGCAAAGAACACTGTGGGCTACAGTGGGCTACAAAGAACATTGCAATAATGAGAAAGCAAAGGTAACAAAGAAACAAAGTGACTAGGAAACAGGCTCCAAATGCCACCTCTCACCTCTTCTTCCACCATGGCTCGCTTCTGGGCACTCCAGCTGTAGTCAGGGTAGTGAGAGATGGTCGTGGCACTGCCAAAGTCACATAACTTAATGGTCCCTTGGTTACTAAGCAACAAGTTTTCAACCTGTAAAAGTCCAGAAAACAGTCTTTATGAACTTCAGATGGAGACAGAGACAGGACTTTAAAGGCATTAGACAGGACAGTGCCTTATTACACACAGCCCAGTCTCCTGCTCTACGGCCGAGTTCCTGGGCTGCCCAGACCACCTCGAGGATGTGAAAACCCCTGCATGCCAAGAGTGGCTATGCAACTAGGTCCACGCTCACCCAGACTGAGGTACAGAAGGCTGCCCAAACCTGGGCAGAGGGGCTTCAGAGAGAGGGAGCTGGCCCAAGAGGCAGGTCCTAAGAGTATGAGAGATTTCCCACAGAGGTCAGCAAAGGGGACTTCCTCAAAGAGACAATGTGATGCCCTCAATTCTTTCTGATCAAAATCAATATATATACATTTAAAAATACCTAATTCAGAAAAAATAAAAGGAAAAATGTTAACATCAACTGCAAATTCAAGTCCTGGACCTGGAGGAACTTAAAAATCATGCCAGGCATGCACATGTGAGTACCCAAATCCTGAGAGAATGGAGGACAAGGGATTACAGTGTGGCCATCCCTCTACGGGGGTGATTTCTCTCTCTCTCTCTCTCTCTCTTTCTCTCTCTCTCTGTCTAGTAAGCACAGGTGCCCTATGGCAAAAACCTAAAAAAGAAAAGAACTACAAATGGGACAAAGATAACCCAATTAATAATGTGGAACCCCAAACAATCAAAGACTTCAGAAAAGTCAGAAAATAACATTTTAACTTGCCGTATATAACCACATTCAAGAAATTAAGAACCGGGGGCTAGCAAGTGGTGTGGTGGTTAAAATGCTGGACGCTCCCACATGGCTGACCACAGTTCAGGTCCCGGACCTGGTGAATTGCTTTCTCGCTTTCCCCCTCTCTCTCTGTGTCTCTCTGTGGTCAAATTAAAATAAATGAATAAATAAATAAATAAAAATAAAAATTATTAAAAAAAAAAAGAAATTAAGGACCTAGGAATAAGTCTGAGAAAAGACAGATAAAAGCAAGCACCTTCTCTAGGCTCTGGATCATGTTATATTATAGTCTACCCAAAGTTTCCAGTGGACTCTCTTAAAGGAAACTCAAATTCCTTATGTAGAAAATCAGACTCCTCATCCTCTGCTAAATACCACTTTTCTTCCAGTGTTTTCTTTCTCTCTATGATCTCATCTTAAAGCACAGAAACTGAAGAGTAATCAGGACAATCATCGCTGTCTTATTCCTTGTTTTGGACAATGTATTTTCATCTTCCCTAAATGTGTATGTGGAAGCCTTAATCCCAATGTGATGATATTTGGAGGTGGGGCTTTTGGGAAATAAATAAGATTAGATTAGATCATAAGGCTCAGGCCCTCATGATGGGATCAGTAGCCTTATTTAAAAAAAAAAAAAAGAAAAAAAAAAGGACACATCTTTCTGCACAACCATGGGAGGATGTAACAGAAAAATAACAGTAAGATTTCCAAAAACCATAAAGGAAGCCTTCTCCAGTCTCAACTCTACTGGCACCTTGATCTTGGACTTCTCAACTTTTGGAACTGTGTGAAATAAATGTTTATTGTTTAAGCTGTTCAGTCTACATTATTTATAACAGTGTGAGCCATCTAAGACACTCCTACCATATCTAATTATCAAACATTGAATTTTACTTCTTACCTCTCTCAAGTATATCCATTTATCTTGACCTCCATCATAGCCCCTTTAAGCAACCATCAGCTTATCTCTGAGCTCCTAAAGACTAATTACCAAATTACCCTGTGTCCATATTCTAACCATACTATGTTTATTCTCCATATTACAGCATTGAAATAGGCCCACAAATTATAGATTTCCTGCTTCTATTTAGGATGATGAAAGCTGGAAAGAAAATTGACTCTCATCCTTTCAAAACATACACTCACACAAACATGCACTGATAATCTATTCTGAAAATTCAGTGGTTTCTTGAACCACGTATAGAGCAAAGGTCACAGAACAAGCTACTCACCTGAAATCCAAGGAAGACAGGTGGCTATGAGGAGATGGGATGCTAGCAGCACCTTGCCTGGAGACAGGTGCCACAATACAATGCTAAAAATAATTCAGCTAAAATTCTTAAGAAATTGGTAAAAGCCTAGTGTGGGCTAATAAGTGGATACAACTCCTGGGGATACAAGTATACAGGGAGTTCATTCCTACTGGCAGATTCATCTGTTGGATCTCCCTGGCTAATCACAAAAGGAGTCCATAGAAAGCATTGCTTGTACCTGGTGTATTTATTAAGTAGCCAGGTCTGGATCTAAACTGTAGTCAGCTATGTGAGAGTCTAGCACCTTAACCACCATGCTACCTGCTGGCCCTGGGGGATGATTTTTCGCTTTCCTTCCCTTTCTCTCTCTCTCTCTGGTGAGCACACGTATCCTATGGCAACCTTCCCCCACCCTACCCCCCCAAAAAAGACAAGAAAATAGCCATAAGACATTCAGAGCCAGATTCGGGTGAGGAAGATGATGAGAGACAATATCCACCCTGGTTTGCTTTGTGTCTCAAGCACCAGCCCTGACGGCAGTCTGGAGAGACAAAGCCACTTGGATTGTGGAATCACGGAATCTGTTCTGATTTGGCTTATGGAGACATGCCGCAAAGAACACTGTGGGCTACAGTGGGCTACAAAGAACATTGCAATAATGAGAAAGCAAAGGTAACAAAGAAACAAAGTGACTAGGAAACAGGCTCCAAATGCCACCTCTCACCTCTTCTTCCACCATGGCTCGCTTCTGGGCACTCCAGCTGTAGTCAGGGTAGTGAGAGATGGTCGTGGCACTGCCAAAGTCACATAACTTAATGGTCCCTTGGTTACTAAGCAACAAGTTTTCAACCTGTAAAAGTCCAGAAAACAGTCTTTATGAACTTCAGATGGAGACAGAGACAGGACTTTAAAGGCATTAGACAGGACAGTGCCTTATTACACACAGCCCAGTCTCCTGCTCTACGGCCGAGTTCCTGGGCTGCCCAGACCACCTCGAGGATGTGAAAACCCCTGCATGCCAAGAGTGGCTATGCAACTAGGTCCACGCTCACCCAGACTGAGGTACAGAAGGCTGCCCAAACCTGGGCAGAGGGGCTTCAGAGAGAGGGAGCTGGCCCAAGAGGCAGGTCCTAAGAGTATGAGAGATTTCCCACAGAGGTCAGCAAAGGGGACTTCCTCAAAGAGACAATGTGATGCCCTCAATTCTTTCTGATCAAAATCAATATATATACATTTAAAAATACCTAATTCAGAAAAAATAAAAGGAAAAATGTTAACATCAACTGCAAATTCAAGTCCTGGACCTGGAGGAACTTAAAAATCATGCCAGGCATGCACATGTGAGTACCCAAATCCTGAGAGAATGGAGGACAAGGGATTACAGTGTGGCCATCCCTCTACGGGGGTGATTTCTCTCTCTCTCTCTCTCTCTCTTTCTCTCTCTCTCTGTCTAGTAAGCACAGGTGCCCTATGGCAAAAACCTAAAAAAGAAAAGAACTACAAATGGGACAAAGATAACCCAATTAATAATGTGGAACCCCAAACAATCAAAGACTTCAGAAAAGTCAGAAAATAACATTTTAACTTGCCGTATATAACCACATTCAAGAAATTAAGAACCGGGGGCTAGCAAGTGGTGTGGTGGTTAAAATGCTGGACGCTCCCACATGGCTGACCACAGTTCAGGTCCCGGACCTGGTGAATTGCTTTCTCGCTTTCCCCCTCTCTCTCTGTGTCTCTCTGTGGTCAAATTAAAATAAATGAATAAATAAATAAATAAAAATAAAAATTATTAAAAAAAAAAAGAAATTAAGGACCTAGGAATAAGTCTGAGAAAAGACAGATAAAAGAATTCCTATACAGAAAACTGTAAAATACCAGCCACATTTTAAAATCCAGAATAAACAAGGAACCAGGCTATGCTCCTAGCGTGAAAGGTACATGCTTCAGTGCTGTCAGACCTGCACCAGCGCTCCAGGACAGGGTCTACAGCCTACGGTCCATGAGCCAATTCGTGTGGCTCTTGTGTGGCTCATAGCTAGGAGTGGTTTTTATATTTTTAATTGACTGGGGAAAAAATTAAAAATTAAAAAATTAAAAATAAAAAATTACTAGTAATTCATGATGTGAAAATTATACAAAATTCCAACTTCAGTCTAAGTTCTACTGGCACACAGCCATGCCCACTCACGCTATCTGTACCCGTTTCTGCAGTATACAACAAGGCTGAAGAGCTATAAGACTGTTTGACACACAAAGCCAACATTTTCCTAGGTTAGCGCTTTACAAAATAGTCTGCTGGTCTAGCCAGGTGGTATGGTGATTAAAGTGGCTGGATCCCACACAGTTGAATGCATGGTTTGAGTACTGGGCCTGGCAACTTAAAAAAATTTTAAAAAATGCCAAGTGTATGTGCATGCATGTCCAAAATCTCAAGAGGTTGAAGGAAAAGGAACTGTATAGTGCTCTTCTTCCTGAGGGAGAGGGATGCTTTCTCACTTTCTCTCTCTCTGTCTCCCTGCAGAGAGCACATGTATCCATTAACAGACTGAAAAAAAAAAAAAAGTCTATCAAGCCCTGCTCTCCAGAATGTCATCGCAATTCCAATCAAATTCTCAAAGACTTTTAGATAGAACTCGGTAAGTTGATTCAAAAATTTAGATGCAAAGAGTCAAAAGGGCCAAGACAATACTGTAGCATCAGTTTTAAGCCTTTTTAAGAAGCACTGGTGGGGGCCAGCAGGTGGTGTGGCAGTTCAGATGCTGGACTCCCACATGGCTGACTGAAGTTCGAGTCCCAGACTTTGCAGTTCGCTTTCTCACTTTCTCTCTCTTTTTCCATCTTTCTCTGTTGAGCGCACATGTCCTGTAGCAAATTTAAAAATAATAATCGTGATAATAAAGAAAATAAATAATTCTTAAAAAGAAACCGTTCTGGTAACAGGACAAAGGAGCTTCAGTCCAATAGACAATTTAATGAGCTCCACCAAGATAGCACCACAGACACCAGACACCACACCCATGGCACGGTGGCAGGAGCAATGGGAGGGGATGAGGCTTTGGGGAACACCAGGTACCCACACGAGAGAAAAGCTTTGATCCCACCACACACACAGCCAACCAAGGGAGCCTCATCTCTAAACATTAAGGCAAAAACCACAACTCTTAAATAAGACAATATAGAAGAATTTCTTCCTGACCTAGAAAATATAATGACTTCTCCACTGAGGTAGAAACAGCACTAACTAATATCATAAAGGGATTAGTAGAATGCCCTAGCTCAAAGAAACAACACCATCAAAGACTACTATAAGGTGGAACCACAGAAAAGACGTTTATACACATAAAACCAGCAGAGTTTCTATAAATGAAAAAAACTCAATAGAAAAGGAGGCAAGACACTTTAACAGGTACTTCCCAACAGAGGAAGTAAAAATTCCAATGAATACACACAAAAAGACGGTCAACCTCATTAAGAGAAGGAAACACAAATCAAAACTACACGACCTACACACCTGGTACGGTGAGAGTCTGCAATGATACCAAGAGCTGCCAAGAAAGGAGCTTTGGGATCCATGTGTGCGAAAGGACCATCAGGGTTAGAGGCACACGCCCTCCCTCTGATCATGTGTTCAAGGCTTCTGTCCTACGGGGGCACCTGCTCCACGACCATGGGTAAACAGGCTGTCCCCAGGGCACAGCCAGCACCTTCACCATGGACAAGGAGGTAAAATGAATTTTGGCTTCCAGTAGGACAGACAGACACAGTCAGCTGCCATCTTCAAGGTGTGGACCTTACACAAGACAGTGGGCTCTGAAACCAACAGTGGGCAAAGAACCCAGACATAAAACAATGTGTAATGTGGGACCAGCAGTTAGCATAATGGCTATGTTGCTGAACTCCCATGTGGTTGACTGTGGTTTGAGTCCCGGACCCGGTGGCTTAAACCCACGCCAGGTGCCTGTGTGTGCGTGCCCAAGATCCCGAGAGGAGAATGGAGAAGGGACTGTGGTGTGGCCATACCCCCTGGGGAGTGATTTCTTGCTTTCTGTCTGTCTCTCTCTGTCTTTCTGGCGAGCACATGCGCCCTATAGCAAAAACCTCTCCAAAATAATAATAATAATAATGTGAAATGCACGATGCTGCTCATATAACCTCTACCAATAAAATATAAATCACACTGAAGAAGAACGCAGAACACACAGCAATAAAGTAATGTAAATATACAATTACCGTAAGTGAGGACAGTGCCACCTGTAGAGGGGGAGGCTTGCAGGGAATGGTCTTGTGGGAGAGGGGCCTGGAAGGACATGCCACACCAGGGAGCTCTCTTAGGGTACACCGCATAGGGGCCCTACTGTGTGCCCATTTCATAGCCGCTATGTTCAAGCAGCATACACAGCAGCAGAACAAGGAGCGACAGCATGTCTCGCCTGCTCCTCTGCAAGGTGCTACTGGAGGGCATCCGCAGGCCACAAATGAACAGCTGAAGGAGGTGCAGTGTTGGTCCCACCCACTATCGAGGTTTCTGGCCAAGACCCCACTGAGCAGCAAAGGCACTTGTGACTAGGAGGACAAGTGATGTCAAACCTCACAAATATTACTTATTAAAGCCATCCTTTTTCCCTTTTTGTGCTGGGTCGGCCAGTGGTGTGGTGGTTAAGGTGGCTGTATCTCACATGGCCAACTACCAGTTCAAGTCCATGGCTTAAAAAACATGCCAGGTGCACGTGTGTGCATGCCCAAAATCCCAAAGGGCGAATGCCAAAATCTCGAAAGGAGAATGAAGAAGGGATTGCAGTGTGGCCATCCTCCACCCACCTCTGGGGTTGGTACTTTCTCACTTTCCTTCTGTCTCTGGCAAACACACTGTTATGTCCTATAACACACACACATACACACAAACATAACAACTCACCACACTTAAAGACATAAGAGAATCCACCAACCATTTCAAGTCCACCAAGGAACAACTATCCAGATGGAAAAAACAAAGAAACAAACAAACAAACAAAAACAAGATTTTTCATATACAGAACTCGACAGAGCTCTGTAGAGCTGGCTCATTGAGGAGAGGCCCTGATTTTCCAGGTCAGAACCAGGCCTCAGGCACTTTGGTTTCCAGAAACCATGAGGTTTTAGGACTTTGAAAAACCTTGCAGCTAAAAGCAACTAGGAGTGCTGAAAAGAATGGTAAAAGGGAAAAAAGGAAGAAAAAGTATGAAGAAAGAACAGAAGCAAGAAAGATGTGGGAGGGAAGGAAAGAGAGAGGAAAAGAAGGGTTACTGATGCACGCAGGGCAGGTGCCCAGAAACAGAGTGGACTGTGCTGTCCCCACACTGCCAAAGGGGGCACCAGGCCAAGGAGTTGGCTCCAGACCTTGCAGTTATTAAGACAGGCTCTTCTTTTTTTTTTTTTTTCAGGAGACATTTTTGCTATAGGGTGCATGCACTCACTGCAGAAACAGAGAGAAACAGACGGAAAACGAGAAATCACCCCCAGAAGGGATGGCCATGCTGTAATCCCTTCTCCTCCATTCTCCTCTTGGGATATTGGGCATGCACAAACACACAAGTTTTAAGCCACTGGGTCTGGGACTCGAACCACGGCTGACTATGTAGGAGTCCAGCAACGTAACCATTACACCATCTGCTGGTCCCTAGACAGAGTCTTCTAAGGTACGATTTTCTAGGCCTCTCCAAGCTCATGTGACAAATAAAGAAGACAAGAAACTAAATGCCTTCCCTATAGGTAGATTTCCAATATAATGCAAAATGGAAAACATGTATCCCTCAACCAGAGAAATGTAAAGAAAACTGCCTTTGAGAACGCTGACCCTGAGTGTGCTGGAGGGCGAATAAGTCTGAGAAGGAAGAACGGCAGCAGGCCTCCTGGGGCTGTTTTCTCAAGTTTTCACCATGGGGGGAACCCAAGGTCTCCTTCCCCTTCCCGCCCCACACACACTTGTACACTGGGGACAAGATACTGAGTCTTAAGCCACACCAGCCAGGCTATCCCCGTTAGGAGTGGAGGTGAGTCTGGAGAACTGCGTGGGCAGATACCTGCATGTGCTGAGTTGGCCGCAACTTTGGGTATAGGACCAGGTGGGTGTCCAGGAGGAAAAACGGACACAGCCCCACATCACACATGATCAATTCCACATAGACTAAACACCTGACATGAGAAAGGCTGACTTCAGCACCCTCAGAAGAACAGCCCTGAGGGGAGGATGGAGGAGCAGTATCTAAAATGCAGCTCTCTAGTCTCTGAGTCACACTGTGGAGCAGAGGCCTCACCAGCCTCCTGTGCCTCTGCCTGAGAGGTAGGGTAGGGAGGTAGCATTTTGTTGGGTCTTTGGGAAAGTCATGTTACATTTTTGCATAGAAATATATGACATGATTTTTCCAACAACCTAATAGAGTACTGAAGTTTAAGAGATCACTCTTTGGAGAAAACTGGGGAAGGCTAGCAACATCCTGGACCAGAGATGATACTCATGGATTATTTCCATTTGCTGGGGTAGTAATGATGCTACAATACACAAGATGCTCTGATCTCCCCAGAGGTGTGTATACAAGTATCTGAGAGTGAAATGGCTTTAAAATTCTACCAAAAACCTGATTCAGTGAGCATGACAAGTGGTCACTGTGGTCAGAGTCAGGGTGGAGCTTCATGAATGCTGGGTAATTCTCACATTTGGATTTTTGAAGGTACAATAAGGGCCTACCAATGATGACACAGCAGGAGGGTACTGCTGCACAGTGGTTGAGAACACATGAGGCCAGGTTCAACTCTCAGCGCAATAAAAACATGATAGGCAAAAGTACCTGTGGACCTAGCTAACACGGAGGCTGAGGCAGGAAGGACTATGACAGAACAAGACCCTGTCAAAAAATACCTGTCTCTCAGGGCCAACAGGTGGTGTGGTAGTTAAGACACTGGATCCCACATGGCCAACTCTGTCGTATGAGTCCCGAACCAGATGGCCTGAAAAACACATCAGGTGTGTGTGCACGCATGCCCAAAATCCCGAGGAGAATGGAAAAGAAGGGATTGGGCATGGCCATCTCCCCTCGGGGGTTACTTCTCACTTTTCCTCTCTCTGTTTCTCTCTGTCTTTCTCTGGTGAGCACGGGCACCCTATAGCAAAAAATCTTAAAAATAAAAAACAACAACAAAAACACTCTCTCATTTAAAAAAAAAAAACAGAAAGAGTAAACATTAGGCCATATTTGCAGCACATACAACTTAAAAAAAAAATTTTAAAAACCCAAGAAGTTCCAACAAATCAAACACAAAAAGCCAACAGAAAAACGGCAAAAACCACAAAGGAGGTTGACTGAACAATAGGGCACTAATGACTATAAATACAGTTAACATTCAACTTAATGAATAACCAGGAAATGGCTAAATCCCTAACCAGAAGGGCAACTCCAAGTATGGATGACCTTGTGGCAAAGTAGTAGTCTCCATGAGATACAGCCCACAGACCAGTTCTTGCCCACAGATGACACCTAAACCACAGTGAAGTGCCAGAATGGCAGCCACGGAAGAGGAAATGCAGATGTGCTGGGAGGGCCAGGACACTCAGGGGGAGGAGCTCCTTGCTCACTGAGTCAAGCAAGTGAGGGGACTGAAACCACATTCCCTTCTCCACCTGCAGCTCCTGCAAAAACAACTCAGGAAGAGGAAGAAGCCAAGGAGCAAGGAGATAAGGCCCTCCTTGTGCTTGAGGGACAAGTTCCTGCTTAGAAGAGCCTCACAGTTTCGCTTCCCAGTTCCAAGGAGTTGAAAACTATCCCAAGGACCAAGAAATGGGAGTGTAGGAGCTCTCAAGGGACAGAGTGCATGCTGAGGAGTCAGGGGGGCCCCAGTACCCCTACATCCACAGGTACATGCCCTTATCCACTGCTCCTGATGCGAACTGGAGCAAGCAAACACCCAGCATGAGAATAGGGAATCTGAAATAGCCCTGGGTGGAACCAGGTGGGTGGTAGGAGGGTTGGATCCCCTGTCATGGTTTGTGTTAAGAAGCTCCTATAGGGGCCAGCAGATAGCATAGAGGTTAGGTGGCTGGACTCCCACACAGCTGACTGCAGTTTGAGTCCCAGACCCAGTGGCTTGAAACTTATACCGTGTGTGTGTGTGTGTGAGTGTGTGTGTGTGTATGTGTGTGTGTGTGTGTGTGTGTGTGTGTGCGCCCAAGAACCCAGGAGGAGAATGAAGGAGAAGGGATTGTGGTGTGGCCATCCCAGCAGGGGGGATTTCTCACTTTACCTCTCACTTTCTCTGTCTGTCTGTCTGTCTGGCAAGCACATGCACCCTAAGGCAAAAACCTCTACCAAAAAGAAGCTCCTATATACATCTCAGATTTCTCAGGTAAAGTGATCATACAGCCTCACTGCTAAAAACTTCTGACATCCTAAGCTAACTGGATCATTGGCAGGGATG